TCTCTCTCTCTCTCACTCTCTCTCTCTCTCTCTCTCTCTCCGTAAGAAGAAGAAGGAAAAGAAGAAAAAGAAGACGAAGATGAAGAAGAAGAAGAGGAAGAAGAATTGGATGAGTAAAGAAGAATTAGGTGAGTGGTTATTAAGCTGAGGCTCACAAAAATCGCTCAACAAAGTAAATGACCCGGCGTTTGGGTGTGGGCTCAATTGGATTCAAGTCAAGAACAATAACATTAATTGTGAGTCATCGTTTTGAAACCAGGCTCTCGTCATAATAAGCATAGTGAAGAAACTGGCATTTGTCCGCAGGTTTGTGAATTTTTATCGATTTCATGCCCATTAAAGAACACATTTCTTAGAGGATTTCACTGAAAAACCTTGGTTAAAGGCACAGAAAATGTACATTTTCAGTTTTCACGGACTCTCAAGCTCATGGAAATAACTAATCTTTGACGGCCATTTTCTCACTAATTTTATCTCTGAAACCAGGTGACACCCACCTCCTTCATTCACAAACATCCTGACTTGTGTTAAAGATAAATAAATATTGTTAATCATTCAAAGCAAGACAAATGGAAAAGTTTTAAAATCATACCAATAACTCCACATGCCCAAAATTGGCGGCAGCCTGATTCCACCGCGGCATGACACATCCGTGCAACAGGCGATAGAGCTAAGAAAAGAAAAAGATGCAATAAGAATACTTCTCCCCTTGCAACCACAAGGTAACAGAGGACGCAGAAAAGTAAAAGTTCCAGTAAATTAATTCAGATAGACCATCAGCTAGGTAACTTTTATCTGCAGTCCAAGGTGTCCTTAGTTTTGATGACGAATTGTGAATTTAGTAACGTAGATACAATAATTTGTAAATTATTTAATGAAGATGTTTTTATTTCATTATAGTATTTTATCTTATTTTATTTTATTTTACTTTGTATTTTATTTTATTCTGCTTCATTTTGCCAAAAGAACATACAATTTTCCCGCAAGCAGCGATGAAATGAAATTTCATAAGTTTCATATTATATTTTTACTCTCTCGAGATCTGTGTGTATCCATAGTAATATTGTTATTTGTTTTTTCTATCATTATTATTATCTTTATAACTATTGTTATGCAAATCATTGCTTACAATTACTATTATCATCATTATTATGATTATAATATAATTAAATATTGTATTATCGTCATAATTACCTTAAATTATTATGTTATTGTTGCTACTGTTATCATCACATTGTCATCATTAATATTTATTAGTATAATAATTATAATTAACATTATTGTTGTTATCATTATTATCCTTATGTTGTTTTTGTAAAGTGTTTTACGTCGCTCGCAACTGCATAAGGTCATATTGGAGCGGGACACACCTAATATTTTCAGTTGGTAGGAAATTTTGAATTTTGCACGGGTGGCGCCGAAGTTTACTCTTATCGATTTTAGACCACCAAGGGATCTTTAACGTGCGCAACTTGCACACGGGCCCTCCGAGATTTTTTGCCCTTTTCCGAGAAGGCTAGGTGTAGATCTTTTCTACCAGAAAATCAGGGGTGTGGCTGAAAGACAGAAGTAAGAAGAAGCGAACGAGTAGCAGTAGGAAGGCTGAAGAAAGAATCAGGAGCACAGAGGAAGGGGCAAAGGAGGTGAGGGGGTGGGAGCAGAAAGAGGAGACCAAAGCAGACGACAGAAAATTGCTAGAGAGCTGGAAATGAGGTGAAAGGAGACAAATTTAGAGAAAAATTTTTTTCGGTTTCTACCCGGATTCGAACCCGGAACCTTTTGAATGAGAGGCCAACACCTTAACCTTTAGGCCACGAGAGCCCCCTATTATCCTTAATATTAGTATTATCAGTATAACAATGATAATAATAAATAATAATAATTACAATTAATATTATTATTATTATTATTAGATTCTAATATTATTATCTCAACTTCATCATCATCATCAGCATCATTTTGTTTTTACTCTATTAAAAAAAATACTACTAGATTTCAATCATATTACCGTACGTCGTGTTTTACTATCGTATCCGAACGACGTTTGGTACTCTGTGCCACCACTTTCAAAGGGGAAATTTACTCGTTAATCCGATCGGTACGCTTTGCATAGCAGTCTCTCAAAATGATTTTTTTAAAGAAATACTCTAAGAATCAAAGATATCTTCGTACTGCAAGTATTCTAAAATGTGAAGAATACAATCCCAGGGCGTGTGGATAGGGTTAAACAATTGACGTAGACAAAAAACAACAACAACCAATTCGAATATTTTGCCGTTTTCATAGAATTATAATTCATCGTACTAGTACCATTACGACGCAGTAGAAGCCTTCAGAGCAACTTAAACCGATGCAGCTTCTCCAGAAGTGAGGTTAACTGTGATTTATTGATTCTGCTTAAGAAACCTGAAATAGAGAGAGAGAGAAGACAGAGAGAGAGAGAGAGAGAGAGAGAGAGAGAGAGAGAGAAAGAGGGAGAGAGGGAGAGAGAGAGAGAGAGAGAGAGAGAGAGAGAGAGAGAGAGAGAGAGAGAGCGACAGACACACACAAACACGTCCCTAAATAGGTCATATAATCAAAACAAACGAACCCTGTTTGATAGTTCTTCGTCTAACGAAAGAAAAAAACAACAACTCCCAGTTAGGGAGACCGAGTTTTGGCAATAAAAGAAAGTTAATTATAATGTGGTCGTCGTGGTAAATACCCGAGCCGCTGACACGAATTTCTGCAACAAAAGTGTCTCCACAACAAGCGGCTGAGAGTGGCCTGCCAGAGAATTTTAATGGAGTTGGATATCTCAGGACGAACGAGTATTTTGTCTCTGTCTGTCTGTCTGTCTGTCTATCTGTCTGTCTGTCTGTCTGTCTGTCTGTCGGTCTATTTGTCTGTCTGTCTGTCTGTCTGTCTGTCTGTCTGTCTGTCTGTCTGTCTGTCTGTCTGTCTGTCTGTCTGTCTCTCTCTCTCTCTCTCTCTCTCTCTCTCTCTCTCTCTCTCTCTCTCTCTCTCATCTGCAAATCTGGAAGACACGCTGCTTTGGATACTTAATAAAGAGACTAAGATTGGACTTTGAACTTCCAGCAAATTTTAAAACTTTGTTTTCTTTATCTGAAATTTCTCCCTACCTTATGTACCTTGTGGTAAAAGGAGAGACTAAGTCCGTAAAGGTATTTGAAATGGCTATGCAATAACAAGCAAAATAAAAAAAGTACAAATTAAGCGTTTTTCGAGACTGTTTCGGAACTGTGCATCAACATTGTTTTTTGTCAACTGCTGGTCGGTCAAGGGACCTCTTTGTCCCTAAACAGTTAACCTTTTCGTGACTCAGGGTCAGTTCGTGCTTCAACGGACATCCAAATATCTTTGAAAGGAGAAGAGTTCTACATACGAAAAAAGAATACATTGCTAAATGCGAATCTACACGAAGTTAACGACATGCAGCTAACATTTTTCTAAAAGGTGCAGCATGTCAAATTCAAAATATGTCGAATAGCGTTCGTCATCATGGTCCTTGCGCTTTCCAAGGCAAGGGTGAACGTCGTAATCGTATGTCACAGCACCAGCTTGCTTCCTTCGTGGTACCAAAAAAAAAATGACGAACGGCGTGCGTCTTGTAGGTCTAGAGCGGATTTACACGGTTGTAATCGTGACACCCAATCTGGTCAAGGAGATTTGACTGATCAGAGTAATGAAGATCCCCCTTCTAGCGTGTTTTAAAAAAAAAATCAGTACCATCAATATTTTTAGCTTTTGGTATGATATTCTTAAATTATAATTTAATAGTGTTGATAGGGGCATTCCACTCTTTTGTTTGTTTCTTTTTCTATTTGGTTTCAACACGATAGAACAG